GTTGAATGTCGATATTGCAGCATTGTGAGATTTGAAAGACTGAAAGATGCTATGCTTAGCCCCGATAACCATAGGAGAACATTCACTCCATGAGTAGTATATTCCTGGCCTGTTACCAGAAAATACAACATATTTGAAGGACTATTCTTCTTCGACTGAACCATTATTGATTCCTTAATCTATTCACTCACACTTAGAAGAACATTGGATTTTAAGAGAAGGTTTGTTTAAGTATGGCATTTTCGGCCATCTTGTTTGCTTAAATAGTAGGGCTTTGAATACCTTACTATACGGAAGATATACGAAATACACTATCAAATATATGTACATAGATGAATAAATTCGAAATATATACGCGTATACTACAATAAAAGAATGAAAAATACGTAAAAATATTTTATTTTTTTTTCAAAAAGGCTTATGGGAAAGAGGGTTTGCTGCTTGAGTTCTTCCATGTATTGGGAAGACAAGCATTAAATGGGTAAGAGAGAATCATGGACCTAAATCCTAAACCTAACGGTAAGGGCATTTCGGCATAAAGTTTGTCCAGAAACCATAATTTGGGTGATTTTACTTTAATAACCCCATTTGGGTCATTGTGGCCAAAAATGGTGTGGCCCAAAGGATTTTTCCATTATTTATGAATACTCTTGAGAAGTTATTTTCTTTAATTTGCGTACCAAACACCGGAAATGAATAATATTACTACTTGTTTCCACGAAAACATTTTCCATGGAAAACATTTTTCGTTATACCAAACACACCCTGGTTTAAAAATTACGACTTCGTCTTTGACTGAATTTCCTCCTGTTTTCTGTTTCTTGTTCCAAAAAAACGTCATTCCATAGTTCAGATAATACACATAGGAAATACGAATTGCTCGTCGAATGTTAGACAGCTTACTAAAGCGTGTGACAAACTTAAGTTTTTTTTTTTTTTTATAACAAAGATTGGATGATATGACAATATTTTCTTATAAAATAAACTAAAAGTTAGCTTTTCCACTCCTCTTATGAGACACTAAATATAATTGTATTTGACTAACCGGAAGCAAATCTAATACAATCATTATGTTTTTACCGAGTGCTGGTGGGTATAATAGTAAGGCAATATCAATTATAAATTACCAATAATGATAGTTCTTGTGAGACGTGACATTAATAAATGGTATGTACACAAAGTTGGTGAGAGGGAGATACAACAACATGATGTTGCTGGAACATATTAAATGGGACAAAGAGTGATTAGGGAACAGGGACATTATGTGGACCTATCTTTGCTAATTGGGTGGCCATGGTTTAGTTGCCTAACTCACTGGGAAGTGGGAATTCATGAAACCACTCTTTTATTCACACGTAATTCCTCGGAGCTACACTTGAAAAGTGCGATCAAATGGTTGAGATTTTTTTTTGTTGCATAACCAGGGGTCTTGAATTTGAGTTCTTAGAATGACAACTTTTTTATTAGAAGAGCTTTAACCCCTTAGTGAGTTTATTAAGTACGAAGTAAAATTAGTCAGGTCGGTAAATTTTCAATATCAAATGGTTAAACCGAAAAGATTAAACCTAGGAGCTGCACAAAAACACAGGCAACTGGCAATTGCTCCACGTTAGTATCTTCTCATCTAAGATCTCAAAGATTTCAAGAAGATAAACATTTAAGATGTGCTCAAGACAAGAAGAGGGCGTCCCACTTTTTAACACTAGCTAGCAGAACAAGACTTGGACAAGTAAAACTGCTAACTAGTTCATTCGACTAAGTTCTGTCACGATATATACAAATGTATCTATACCGTATAGTAGAATAATATATGAACGTAATAATTAAGAAAAAAGACATACTGTCGTTTCATTGTCATATATACATTCTGTCATTCAAAAAGTATTTATGAGCTCGACGGCAATTATGGATTTACCAAATCAGGATAAAAGCATCTTTAAAAGCAATTGCATTTGTTATCAAGTGCTAATAAATTGGTCGTATACTAGTTTGAATTTCTTAGTTAGAAAGGGAAACTGACCATCATCACTAATTTACACTAGCCGGACAAGTTCCTACTTTCCTTTTTGTTGGGAAAAAGTTGGAAAAGAAAAAAAGAAATAAAAAATAATCTCTTATGCTCACTAAAGAATATAATCTTACAAAATCTCTTGTGTTTAATTTCGGATATTCTATGTTACTCCATTTTTTATGAAAAAAGTCATATAACTAATATAATACTCGATATGGAATGCAAAAACAAACCTTTTTTGAATAAGGATGAAGTAAAGTTCATTTCCTCCTTAATAGTTTGCCTACTTTTATTCGAATCTTGACCTCTGAATCAAAGTGGGGAAGTCGATTATAAAATGGAGATAGTAAGAGACTAAGAGTGACTTTTTGGCATTATTAATTTTATAAGTAGGATTTCATGCTCAGAATAAACATTTCTAGTTTCTAAACATTTATTGTCTGAAGCAAACGGTTATTGGAGAGGATTAGATACTATAATCCCACATTATCAAAACATCCTTATTCTCCTCTCCCCGCCCCGAAGGGCCCGTGGCTTCACTCTCTCCTTTTCTCTCTATTTTAATATACTCCTAAAAATCTAGAAGTAGTATTGTCAATTCTTCAACAATACATAAAGATATCAAAGTATTTGAAATGACATCTACTAACAGTATGTTGGCAATAACTCTTGTTACATTTTGGTATCTTCCCATCTGTAGTGTCTTCTGCAATAACTCACTACAACACCAAAAACCAAACGGCAAAGAGCAAATATATCCCTGTAATATGTGAAAAGGTTTAAATATATTCTTCGTTATTTTTTGGTTTCAAATATATATCTGCCATAATACTAGTGTTCAAATATATTCCTCTTATGTTAAATTTATCCAAGATGGATATCCAATCTTACTTGACACTGATATTTGATGAGCTGGATGTCACATGCCACCTCACCGCCTCTAATTCATATATAAAAAACTAAAATTTGAAATAGAATATTTTCTATGATTGCGGTAATGGTGTTTATTAGTGGTGGAGGGGAAGGAAATTTTTGTGGTGAAAAAAATAGAAGGGAGGGGTAAAATGGGTTAGGAGCGCTGAGGTGGCAAGCCATGTGGCATCCACCTCATCAAATGTCAGTGCCACGTAGGATCGAAAGTCCACTTTGGACAAACTTAATGGAAAATGAATATATTTGAACCAATAGTATAACGACAGGGGTATGTTTGGACACAAAGTATAATAAGGAGTATATTTAAACCTTTTCTTTTCTGACAGTACAAAAGTATATTTGGCCTTTTCCGAAAATCAAAATCCCAAGTGAATCTTAAACAATCCCCATACCTCGAGTTCATTATTCAGATGGTCACTGAACTTTGCAAAATGATGGAACAAAGTCACTTAACTTTAGTTTGTAACAAGAAAATCACTCAATTTTTCCTAATGTACACAGATTGTCACTCAACCGAAAATATTAAATTTTCTGGTGGAAAAAGATGACATGGCAGTGTATATGAAATTTTTTATTATTTGACCAAGTAACACCCGAACAAAACATTAAAACTCAGCCCATACATACTCATCCACTTAATAAAATAAACACTAAAGACTAACCAAACCCTCTGACCATTATTTCACGCTACTCTCTTCTTCTCCATGGTTTCACTTTAGTCCAAAAGTTAGCTTTTCAACATGGAATTGGAAGGTGCATCAACTTCTATAGTAATTTTGCACAAATTTAGTAACTTTAAAAGTTAAAACAAATTCATCAAAAGAACGTGAAAATTACTTGGAGGGGGTGTAATCGGCTTGAGAAACTTGAGAGCTAATATTGTTCCTCTTCTTGTTAGGAGAAAAAGCGGTCATGGGCTCAGTATTCAGTATTGAAAAACTTGAGTGCTAACATTGGAATCGATTATGATATACTAGAAATTTAGACAACTGCTCTCATTAAGCAACTACTTTTAATATAAAATTACACACGTTATCAAATGGGAGAACAAATGTTGCATAAATAAGCAACACCACTTAACAAAAAAAATATTGCTTACAAAGCAACACATGGAGACAAACTAGTGGGTTAAGGTCATAAGACCACAAGTTCAAACAAAAAATACACATTAAACTGTGTCACATTAGTAGTTCGCACAGAAACAAAAAGGAAACTTGATAGTTCACTTCCTAGACTTCTTTAAGACTTTGTAAACATAGTCTTTAATGTTTATTTTATTAAGCGAGTGTGGTTTTATTCAACGGGTCGGGTCGGATCGGGTTGGGTTGGGTTGGGTGTATGAACAGAGTTTTAATATTTTTGGGTGTTACTTGGTCAAATAATAAAAAATTCCATGTAGATTGCCATGTCATCTTTTTCCACTGGAAAATTTGTTATTTCCGGTTGAGTGACTATCTGTGTACGTTAGAAAAAGTTGAGTAATTTTTCTGTTACAAACTAAAGTTAAGTGACTTTGTTCCATCATTTTGCAAAGTTCTGAGTAATGAACTCCCCATACCTCTTCTCCTTACTTCTAGTTTGTATAAAGCAACTTCTTCACTTTGAAAAGACAGGAAACAGTTAGGTCCCGTTTGGCCATGAGTTTTGCCAAAATAAATTTGGGATTTATTTTCAAAACTCATGTTTGGCCATAAATTTTGCCCACATTTTGGCCAAATCCCAAATCCCAAATCCCAAAATCAGCTATTGAGCTGATTTTGGGCCAAAATCCCAAAAATTGGGAATTATATACATGTTTTTCCAAAATAAAGTTGGGAAATATGTTTTGAAAACGTATATCCAATTACATTTTCATCTTCAAACCAAACTTTACCCAAATCAGATTTTTTAAAATAAATTTGGGATCTACGGCCAAACGCTAGCTTAGGAAAAAGAAAGATTTGTCTCTCTTGAACTTTAGCTTAGATTACTACTCCCTTGGAACAGGTCTAACAATACTGTCTTGTCTCAGTTAATTAAAGACGGGCGTAATTGCTTTCCAAAAAGAACTGATTGAAATTCTTGGTTTTTTAGAGGTAGCAATCAAATAATTACACTCGACTCTCCATTTATCTCTTCCCTTTCATTACCACCCCGAAAAGTAGACCAAAGATAAAACACAAAGCCCCCACCACTTGTTCTTTATAGTATTATACCTCCATCTTCCCTATCATAAAGTCTCAGAATTCACAATTAGCGCTTCCAAGAATTTGATGAAGGCTACAGGGAAGAGGAGAAATTAAGATTAATTTCATCTCCTTTGTCATTTGGTTTACACTTAAATTAGCTTAGTCCAGTGGCAAATTTCTAGTTATTTTGCATAACTAGCCCCATCATAGTATATTCAACATTTCTGCCAAGAATTGGGTTATATTCTGCAATTTCCTGCTACAAATCAAACCCAAGATTAGGAATTCGAAGGTCAAGTTTGTAAATTATGGGGGTTTATCATCGTCCTTACCGGCTACTTGTTGATCCTCGTCCAGTTGTGCCACCTAGCACTACTATAAGCAAACCACACCATGGCTACTCAAACGAAGCAAATTTTGATACCAATATGGTGATCATTTTAGCAGCTCTACTTTGTGCATTAATATGTGCTCTTGGTTTAAATTCAATTGTGAAATTAGCTTTGCGCTGTAGCCGGAGATTCGCTTTCGAGTCAGAAAATGCAACGGTTGCACGCTTAGCTGCGACAGGGCTGAAAAAGAGTACGCTAAGGCAACTTCCAGTGACAGTTTATGGATCAGGAGTTAATATTCCGGCAACGGATTGTCCAATTTGTCTTGGCGAATTTATGGATGGTGAGAAAGTAAGAGTTTTGCCGAGATGTCACCATGGTTTTCATGTCAAGTGTATAGATATTTGGTTGGCTTTACATTCTTCTTGTCCAACTTGCCGACAATCGCTACTGGAACAGAACACAACGATATCCTCTGATGTTGAAACTGGATTTAGACAACAACCTGGAACTGCTGAGGAGGTTGGTTAATTTGCAGTACCTCTTTGTTTCAAGGGGGAAAAATAGACAAGGTAGGGAATTCCAAACTTTAAAAGATTTGAGTTTGTTCCCCTTACCTTCTCTCATGCGCTCTAGGGATAAGGTCTGCGTATAAATGGAATTGCACTGGTGTTTAATGTTACTCTTGTACCTTCTCCCCTTTGCCTCTATTTTGTGAGGGTCAGTTTTGTTCACACATATAAATATATATATGTATTTATGCTTCCATTTGTGTGTTTTGCAGGCATTTGATTATTCCAATCTTTGTACTACTTGTCTTCAAAAGAAAATTTGCTTAATCTTTTGTATGTAGAAGGTGGTCGTAGCATCACAAATTCTAGGCTATGTGGTGGAGTTAAGGTTTCTAACTCTTGTGTTGACTGCCATCCCATGATGTTGCTCTAAGAAGATAGAAGGACTTTTTGGTGATTTGGATGACTAAACGCAGAGTCCATTCTCCTTTCTGTTGGGTTCTTGCAATTGCATACGCACAAGGGAATTAATGAATGCTATTAAATTTTGTCTGAAGCTCAACTTGATTAGGCTCTTGTATATTTATTTCACATGTCATGTTTGTTTTGTGATTCAAATATCATGAACTGCAATCAACACTACTTCAACTGCTACTTGTGTAACTAGCAGTTGATTTGATGGGGCACATCACATTCAAATATGTATTATTAGCCACAAGGAACAGAAGGCATCATCAGCATGTGCTAAAAGATTGGAATCTTTCTTCCCTTCTCATCACTTGGCCTGGCCCCAATAGTAATGAATGTTTCAGTGTTCAACCTTTTATATATGTGCCAAAAAGAAATGTACGTAATAGAGTTAGTGCAAGTCGAATTCATTTAGACAGAAGACAGTGTGTTGGCCTCTGGCCAAAGGAAGAAGAAGAAATGGTTACTTACAAGACAATTTTCATTTTGCACTTGTATTTCAAGTCTTCATTTAATATCTTAGTTTACGGGCAATCAAATCAGTAAATTGAAATGAGAAAAATATTACTCTCGATGCATGCAGTATTTTGACAGTCAAATACTTCTCAATTTTTAGTGCAAATTTGGACATATAGTGTATCTCAAGCAAAAGCAAAAAGAAATCATCTGAATTAGACGTCAGAGGCTGCTACTTCGTAGGCTTGAATCTGTTACCCATAACCAAGATCTATGGAGCTAATTGGGTTCTAACAAACCACTACAAAGGAAAGGCAATAAAGGATAAAAAAAGTTCCCTTTCAATACTAGAAGGAAATACATAACAATGAAATAGCATTAAATAGTTTGGAAGTAACAGAAATCAAGGTTGTGACGAATTTCTCGTCTATTATGCATTTTGTCTAGTGCATTAATTGTCTGAAGATGTTAAAACTTGCACGTAAAAGTATCCAGATTATTCAATTAGTTTTGCTACTCTATCTGCTTTTGTCGTGTATACAGATTCGAGGAAAAAAGAGGAATAGCTCACTGTTCAAGGGTGTTTTCTGATCACCACTCATCTCTCACTAATCAACTTTAGTACATGTGGAGTCTGTGACCTAACTACTAAGTCCGATTGAGCCTATTAGTTCAATAAGTATTTTTTTTTAAAAGGGACTAATCATGGATAGTCCAATTAAAGAAGGGCCAAGTATCACAACTCAAATGGACTGACTAATCATGTATAGTCCAATAAGCTATAATGCTATTTCCATTGCCAATTTCCACCTATCTTTTTGCTTTTCGGTAACAAGGATAGTCAATAGTTACATAGCTGGAGGCTGAAGCATTGCTTGCTCTGAGCCTGAGGTAGTTCGGTAATAGTCTAACATATCACCATTAGCATTACAATCATAATTAGCTTAGTGAAGATGTCTGTCCAAACTACTTCATTTGCAAATGCAGAAGGAACTGCTACAATTCTAAGCCTATGAAAAAACTTTTCTCCCTGCTCCTTCTTTTGCCAGCAAGCAAATCACTGCTCTGCTCCCTGTAGGAGTGTCTAGGCACTAGGTTCCCCAACATGGACACCAATGGCCTGCATTCATCAATTAAAGAGCTGTAAATTTTATATATCATGTTAATTACCTCGGCTGAATCTGAAACTATTCCAGAGGAGCCAAGTTATTTTAATCTGCTACTATTTGATAAACCTTTCAAAAGAGCAATTAGTTTAGTAATAGTGTTAGTAGCATTCAGAATTCCTTTCATGAATCCTATAATCCAGTCACTATTAACATTATCTGAATCCAGTCACTATTAACATAAATATCATGTCCAATCAAACATTTCATATAAAATAAGACGACGAGAGTAACTTTTTCTTTTTAATTATTCTGAAATAAATGTCTTCTCTTTTTCCCTTTTCAATTATTGCGAACCTCAAAATGTTATAGTCTAAGTTCTTCAAGTTCGTTACTGGTCATGCAGCTCTTATATATAACAAGACCAAAAATATGACACGAGCAGGTTGATATATAATTAGATATAGTCAATACGTTCATTTTCTGTTGGAAAGAAGGCAACGACCGATGTTAAAGAATCCTCATCCTTGATTCTACCTATAAGTAAAAATTTAAAACACACACACCGGCCATCAGAGTATACAGACAAATTGAACAGAATATTCAGCTCTAGACCTGCTTGGCCCAACTTCTAAAATCAGCTTATGTGACAAGTGCTTTCTCTTAAAAGTATTTTTTTATAAGTACTGGCTAATTAATTTGCAAAAAAAACATAGGGCATAAAGAAACACTAAATATGTAAACAATATGAAAAGACACTTCAATATTGATGATGGTCCTGAAAATTGTTTTATGTACACAGAAGTTAGGAGTTTAATTCCTGTATAGGTACGAATTCGGCGACCACTATAACGATGAGCAAGGCACAGGACGGGGTCGAGCATGATAAGACGACCGAAGGTCGTTCTCGTAAAGGCTGATGCCAGAAGCGGGCAGCTGAGATAAGAAAGTGATGGAAATATAGATTCAAAAGTGGACATAAAGAATATTCCTTTGGAATTCTTTATTTTGTACCTTTTAGGGCTTTTGGGGAATACCCCTTACAAATAGGAAGAGATAGGGAACAAAGTGGGGATCTGCCTTTTTGGGATTAGAACATATTATAAAGATTGAAAGAAGAATATATAAAAGTTGTCTTATTCACTGATCTATTCAAGCACATGTTGTTCAACCTTTATCCATAAATCTCAAGATCTCATATCCACCTTGACTTCTAACTTTTCTATGCTGCCATCAGAGAAAAGGAACACGTCAATCATATAATAATTGGGTGGTAGATCTTTTTCCATTACATTTCTGGTCATTATCTGTCGTTATTTCACGTATATGCTATCATATTTATTATCAATCATAGCATATTAAATTCAGTATTTAATGTTCTTGTACTCTACCCGTTTTATAAGTATAAAGTTCTATTTAATCTAGAATTTATTAAGTTCAACTGAGATTCACCCTTTAACTCATCACTAATTGGTTTAGCATTTATTTGCTCAAATAATTTGGCGGCGTCTGTGGGGAGGTTTTAGTTGAAATTATAGTTTCTTCTAGATCATAAAAAAGATAGCCATCTTTTCTTCATTTGCACAAACTAACGATGGCAGGAAAAGGAGACGCAAGACTGAAAGAGATAGCAGGCGTCACTACCAACATTTTGAACACCATCAACGAAGATAGCAGGGAAGACTACGAGAACGCGACACCAAACACTACGCCCAGCCGGAGCGCTTCACCTCCCCCTGATAAAAGTGTAACGGCTTCACGCGAAAGGGGAGCCTCCACGTCTACAGCTGAGGAAGCACCACCAGCAGTGAAAAAATTATTGGAAGAGTGGCTGACAAGCACCCTAAACAACATGCTCGACAAACCCGTTTAAAGGGAGAGCGGAAACACCGTGCAAACAGACACCACTGCGATCACTGGCGAGCAGCCTGTCCCTTAAACAGGTATCACTTACACCTCTATTGATGCATGTAATGATGCACTCGCAGCCATTCTGAAAAAAATGGAATAAATGGAAAATGAAAACAAGGCACTCCGCGACCAGATGAGGGAACATCAAGAAAGGGTCGATAAGATACTGGGTGCCCTAAAGCTACTACCAAAACGAGACGTTTGTCGATTCATCGAACAACCGTATAGCGAGGAAGCGACTCCACATGCCATTCCCAAAACCTTCAAAATGCCACCTAACCTGAAGATATACGATGGTACTACAGACCCCGAAGATCACATCATCCATTACATCACAGCGGTAAAAGGCAACAATCTTTCAAAGGATCAAGTACCATCACTACTACTGAAAAAGTTCGGCGAAACCTGACGGGGGGAGCCGTAACCTGGTATTCACAACTGCCGGCGCGGTCAATAGCAATGTTCGAGGATATGGCCGACAAGTTCGTCACCGCCCATGCAGGGGCTAAAAAGGCGGAAGCTAGGGTGAACGATATACAATCACCTGGCGAGGGACTTAGGGACTTCCTCGCCCGGTTTAACAGAGTAAGAATGAGCCTACCAAATGTATCGAAAGGGATGGCAGTAGCGTCTTTCCAGAACGAGTTGAACAGGAGTGGGTCGAGAGCAACCAGAAAGCTACTAAGCACATAAAATATCCTCCCACCACTTGGAAAGAAATCTACAATGCCTATTGCGCCGAGGTGAGAGCCGACGAGGACAACCTTAACGGCCCCACTCAACGTCATTCATCGATTCAAACAGAGTCGAGAAAAGATCATCCTAACTACGGTCGAAGAGATCAACCAGGCCCCCGTCTCAACCGAGAAAGACATCAGCCCTACGTCAGAACAGTCGTCCCACCGTCTCCTCGACATGCGGAAGGTCCGCCCAGGCCGCAAACAAGGACTCAACGAAACAAAAGAGGTATGCCTCCACTCTTATCCACTTACAATTTTTGTGTTTCTCCTTCAGAGATAGTGTACGCACTAGAGAAGCTTGCCACAAAGGTGAAATGGCCACAAAAGATGAAGTCCGACCCAAGTACTCGAAAGTCGAACGTCCTTTGTGAATTTCACCAGGAACGGGGTCACAAAACTGAGGACTGCATAGCTCTATGGCAAGAGGTAGTAAACATTATGAACCAAGGGCACCTAAGGGAACTTATGAGCAACCGCAGATGAGCCAACTTCGGTCACAAACGTGAACAACACCAGAGACCCCCAAAGCCATCCCCGCCTGCCCGCATCATCCAAATGATCATCAGCGGAGGCGATGAAGCAGCGATCAGCCATGTGAAGTTCACCACTATACCCAAACTGAAGCGGTCGATCACTCACGAACAGTATGACGACTTCGGAGACACTATCATCTTCGATAAGTCAGATACCGACAATTTGACTTTCCCCCATTACGATGCTATCGTTATGAATTTGCATATTTCAGATACTGATGTGAAAAGAATAATGGTAGACGACGGAAGCTGCGCGTGTATTATCCACCCTTGAGTCCTCACACAAATAAGACTCGAAGACAAGGTAGTACCGCGTTGTATAACACTAACAGGTTTTAACAATGCAGTTGAGCGAACCTCTGGAGAGATAACGCTGCCCGTTTTTGCCGGGGGTGTCACCCTAGAAACAACGTTCCACGTCATGAACCAGGATACAACTTATAACGCCATCATAGGGCGGCCATGGATTCACGCCATGAGAGACATACCGTCAAGCCTATATCAAGTGATAAAGTTCCCTACTCTATGAGGGATATTCAGCATCCGAGGCGAACAACGCACCGCCCAAGAATGCTACCGCATCGCCCAAGACTGCACATAAACCCAACTGCT